TGCTGAAAGCAGAACTGAGAGTTGTCAGTGAATGGTAACACAGATACTGCTTTTGGGCAAGATGCCATTCCTCTGCAGGAACAGTCATAAGGGCTGCTCCAGCCAAGGAGAGAGCATCCAGTCTCAAAATAATTGGCTGTTTTCCTGGAATTGCCAAAGGAGTCAGCTGAGCTTCCAGTACCTTTTGCTGGAAGTAAAACATGGGGATTTATGAAGTTTTAATGTGGTGAAGTTGGGGTCCCTGGGAATTTTTTTTTGTTCATTCATGTTGATATGTAATAGTTACTAACATAGCATGTTTCTACTTTCTTTTTCAACAGTGGTATTTCTCATTTACTAAGAGACATTGCTTTGCTTCTCCTTTCTTTGGCCAGGTACGCATCTCTGTGGAAAGGATGCCTGACACTTTATACAGGACGAGGGGGCGAGCTGCATAAAATTGGGGAGTAAGTATTGCGCATTTATACTTGCGGTGTTATGTACTGTACTCAGCAGAGCATCATGGTAAGTATAAGATGTGGTGTCTCTTAGTAAATGGAAGCTAGGACAGCAAAAGCCTGTTGATTGCTCATGGATAGGTACAGTACAGGTGTCTGTGGTGTAAGTTTTTACATGCTGTTGTGGTAATGAGCTCTGGCCCTCTCTGGATTCTAGGTATGTTGAGGAAAATTGTCTTCCATCATGGCACAGATCTCGGTTTTACCTAGAGGGGGGGAACTGTATAAATGACAAGGGACTTAATCTGCATTGCTTACCTAGGCCTGAGCTTGAATAACCACTTTATTTGGGTGGAAGCCTTCTATGTGTGTATCATGCTTTAGAGACAAGGAAGACAAAGGTAACTCCAGTGAATCATACCTAAACAGAAGCAAACCTCATTAAACCTTCTTTAAACTGCCCACAAACTGAGGTGGCGACTCCTCCTGACTAAGAACAAACATGAGTAACATACTTGACAAGCAACAGGGAAAAAATAGCAACATTTTCTGAGAAGAGCACTTCTATTGTGGCACAAAGGGTTGCGGTAGGACTTGTAGCCATCTGGGAAGCGGGGCTTGTGGGGTGGCCACCTCTTTTCTTGGGTGCTTCAAAAATGCCCAGTGTTTAGCTGGATTTTGGGAGGGATGATAGCAGATTTTCTTTGGTGCAAAGCCATCGCCTCCAAAGTATGATCCAGTGGGCTTACTCACCAGCAGGCTGCAGTGAGGTGAGTCCTCATCTGGGTTGTGCCTCCCTGCAGGAGGTGGGAGCTCCACTTCTGCTTAACCAGTCCAAGCTGCGTAGTGATCCAAATCTTTCTTCCACTCTGCCATAATACCCATGTGAGTTGGTGGGCCTATTCCACCATGGTCCCCTTGAGTGGAAAATGATGCTTTGAATTTCTCTCCCTGTTCTGGGCTGCTCTGTGCTATTATATTAATGAGGCACTCCATAGCATGGGAGCGTGTGGGAATGTTTAATGTTCCCTTAGAGATCTAATGCAGTCACAGTCTGGGAGCAGGCTGGGTGACTTTGTGCCTCGGGTGACCTTGTGAGTGGGTGCTGGACAAGATTGTGCAGCTGGAAGAGAGGTGAAGGGAGCCCTTTCATCACCTTTTGTTTTCTTCAGGCCAATTTACCTCCTAGAGTAAATGTGTACTTGCCTCTGCTTGACTGAAACACCCTCACCAGGGAGATGTGACAGCTTTGCCACAAGCCTATAAAGGAATCAAAGAGCCTTTTAATAGCTATGGATACTCTCTGAACAGTGGTGTCTAGATTAGTTACTTCTAGGTGATGGGATATGTCAAGAACATATGCTATTTAACTTGCAGAGTTGAGAACTCTGTTTAAAAAAAATGGCTTTAGAACTTCCTCATCATCCTAATTTCTCCCCAGGTTCTGCATGGTATACTCAGAAGTGCCAAACTTCAGTGAGCCCAACTCTGAACACGTCGGGCAGAACAAACTGGTATGTTAAACTTGTCTGAGGCTTCTGGCATAAAGTGCTCTTTGTTCTGAAAACTTCACACTAGGTTGTGATCAGATGTGATTCTTCTGGAAAAATGGACTTGAAGTGATGTATAGACAAAAATGAGCCAATAATTAAGAGTAGCAAATAAATTCCACATGGAGCCACTGTAAGAACACAGGAAAAAAAACAGCCCTTTTCGGTAAAAATGTGAAATTTCTCTCTCTGATCCATGTCTTGTCTCTTTTTTTTTTTTTACATTTCTCTGAAGGCACAGGGTGAACAGAATAATAGTTCTGCATCAAGTAATATGGGTTCTTGTACTTTCGGGCCACTGGGTAAGTTTTTTCATTTTGTGAAAGTGAAAGAAAGAAACATTTAATGGGAATAAAAAGTAATTTATCTTGCTAAGGGTTCTCCACTCTGGGGCACAAGTGTACTGCGCTCTAAAAAGTCTTTTAGACTGAGGCCTGAACCTGCAAGCGCACAAGCATGAACATTTCCTGAATAATGGTTTCAGGATTTCTTCCCTAGAAGAGGAAGAGATCAGTATATTCACGGTGCCTGTACCATGTAAAAATATGACTAATCCTAAATTGTTTTGATGCTTTCAAAGAGTTTTTGCAGCACTTGAAATTCTGTTTTTTAAACTACCTGAGATGTTAGCTTTAAAAATGAATGACTTTAATCTTGTCAGTCACCTTGGCTTTCCTGCCAGGTTAGCTCCCCAAAACAGAAGTGGTAGTAATCTGAATTCCAATATTTGACCTTGCTGGATCAATTTGTGATGTATTAAAATGTTGAATCTTAAATTAGAAAATGCTCCAAAGACTTTAGTGGGTGTAAGCTTAGAGGGAACCTTAGTTATGGCCTGCCTACATGATGCCCAGAGTTGGCACTTGGTGTTACAGAGCTAAGCTCTGCTGGTGGGTGATGGCAAACTGATCCATGACTTGCTGTTAAAAACCTCTGTGTCACTTCAATTCAGTGACTGTCTGCTTCCTTTTTAGCGACATGATTTTAATTTCTTTTACTTTACTTCTCTCATAAGTCCTTTGTGTTCCTGTAAACATAAATGATTCTGAGGAAAGAAGGGCAGTGCTTTCAGGCCAGTCTTTCCTCAGTGCTAGGGTGAGGCGAGTAGGCTTTCAGCCCAATTAGTGTGTAGGTATTTCCTTGGTGTTCCTGCTTTTGGGCAGTAGACAGCTGTTTTCACTGAGCTTGTAAATATGTTCTGAAACTTTTTATCTCTTCCTGCTTCTTGTGTGGTCTTTAAATGTAGTGATTTCCTTTTGTCTCTTCCTTCTCTCTCCATGATTCCTGTCATCATTCTGCCTTTTCAGCGCTGTTCCTCTTCCTACCAGCAAAACATAAGCAGTGATACTTATGAGGCTCAAGTTCATGAGAACTTGGTGCTAGCTGAGTTGCTTCCGTGGCTGGACTTCAAGGCAGCTTTTTATTTCTGTGTCTGGTAGTGGGGAATGGTGCAAGGAGCTTTGTGTAGCCTGCTTTTCTTTTGCTGGTTTCTCCTTGACTTCTGTTGCCCTGCTGTCTCTCTGGAACATCTTGGTGTGTGACCTACAAGCCAGTGCATGTTTCTGAAAGCACCAGTCTAGTTTCATGAGACTCCAGTCTCTCCTGGGCAAAGAATCAGCATGCAACTCTGTGACCCTTCTTGCTTTAGTTGAGAGGTGGGGGTACAGATGGAGGGAAGGTAGTTTGGGAGGGAGGAAAAAGGTACGCTGTGGTTTGAGGTCTTACAGCATGAGAGGGGCTTTACCTTCTGGTGCCTGGGGTTTGCTGGTTGCTGCAAACTCCATGCATTCCCTGTTGCTAAACTTCTGTAATGGAGCAGCGACTTCAGTCCATGGAACTTGTGATAACCTTTTTTTCTGTCTTTTTAGGAAATGGCTTACAAACTGGACCTGAATCAAGTGGATTCCCATTTACATATAATCACGGCCACACTTATGCAGGTAGTGGGAGAGGCAATGGACGAGGACCTGTAAATCCAGCACCAGCTAATAGCATTCAGCCTCTTCCTGCCGTCAGTAATGGGAGGGACCCACGCAGAGCCTTTAAAAGATGACTATGCCAAATGTGGTTGTACAGCTTGCTTAAACTCTACACTCTACTTGAACACTTATTGCACTTTTATTTATAGTTAACTGTGAACCAGTTCGTCCTTTACCGTTGGTTTTTTACCTTTTGGTCTATAGAGCAAACTTGATGTGATCTATTTCTTGTTTTGCTTAGGGAAGCACAGTAAGTCTTCCCCATAAATTAAGGGGAGAAGGTGCATATAAGAAAGTAAGAGGAATGGGTTGAAGAGTCTCAAAACTCAGTACCCTTTGCTAAATGGAAGAAAATTTCAGTTACATGTATGTATTTTTCTGTTTCTTTTGGTCAGCCATATAGCCTTAAAAGGTCTGTTATGTCCTGTGCGTGCATACGTTGACTTCCATTAGGGTTAATGGGAGTTTTTCGTATTGGAAGAGACATGAGGGGGGAAAAGCAAAGATGCTCTAGTGAACTAGGTGTCCTTGGAATGAATATAGCTTGTAAAAGCAATAAGTGTAAGGAAATGGTGGTGCCAGCACCTAGTGGTGCCTCCTAAATCAGAGAATGGATAACTCTGATGAAAGTTGAAAATATGGTGAGTGTCTTGAAGCTTAACTTCGGATTCCAAAACGGTGTACACTACTTTAAAGAAAAATTCTCCATAAATATCATTATCACTATCAAGGAAAGTGACACTGATTTTTTTTTTATTTTTTTCTTTGGATAGAAGCTTGGATATTCATTCTTGCTTTGCATGAAATAGCAGGAGAGGAGGATCTAAATTCAGACAGCATTGGAGAATATGCTGTTTGTAGCCATTCCTGGTGTAAACGCCCAAGGTTACTTTGCAGGACTCTGAATTTCCAGGAAAGAACTGTTGTCAAATGCTGCATTAACTATCTCTTCAATGAGGCTGCCTACTTCTCCTTCCTTCATTCACTTTTCCAAATGAATTATGTATTAGATGAAGCTGTATGTGTGGATTGCGGAGGTACTGGCCAAGCACACAGCTGCACTTCTGATGCTGCTAAGTGTTACTTCCTCTCTTTTATATGAAATACAAATTATCCCTTAAAGAACTTAACCCCCCCACCACCATCTCCTGGGGAAAATAGCTGTGGTTTTATTTCTGAGATCACAAATGCCTTGACTCTAGATAAGAGCCCAGTGCCATATTTCAGATCAGGTTCAAAAACAACTTGGAAGCTGAGGTGTCATACTGGATTCATCTGCTTAACTCCTCTTATAGCTGACCTCTTGAATAAAAAATTGCACTAACCATTTCAAAAACAAATCTTAACTTTCTTTCTGTCAAGCCATAAAAACTTCATTACAAAAGGCTATTCCTGAATTGTGAGTTGTCTCTGTGGTTGTTCATGTTAACTGAAGCTACTACTATGTCACTGATGTTTACAAGTTATTTACATTTGATCCTTCTCCTTTGGTACTCTGTTATGTTGAACTTTGCTTCTAATTGGCAAAAGTTCTTTGCTTAGTCTGAAATACTGAACTCTTTTTAAATGCAAGCAGCACCAACAGCAAACTTCTGAAGGGAGGTTTGGAGAGACCTGTGTGCCCAGACACCTGAGGGCTGTTTGCCTCTGGTCTGGTAAAGTGCTATCCTGATACTTGCTTCCACTCTGGTCTGGTAAAGTGCTATCCTGATACTTGCTTCCAGGTGGAACCAGTGAAACTTGTCTTGGACACAAGAGGGTGGCATGCCTCATGAGATCACCCACGGGTGCTGTTACAGAAGAACAGTGCTAATTGATGAACCAGAAAGCACGCAATGACTTCTGGGGAAATGGTGTAAGGAGGTGACATATAACTCAGGGACTTTAAATTGCTTACTTATTTAAATAAGTCATGTGTAGTCTAGATGCATGGACAACCTCTTGTGCACTGTTGCATTATGACATTTGATATGCTTGTGAGAAGGAAGCCAAGAAGACTTCTAAACCTGTGAAGTATGACATGTTCCAGAGGTAAATGAGATGTAAGTATGGTGTGAGAGCTGTGCTTTCCACTAGTAGCTGTAAAGGTGGCAAGTGAACAGTGCAAGTGACAGCGTGGTGGGGACTTCATACTCATTGGGGTATGTCTGCCATGGATCTCAAATCCTGGTGGTCTTGGCTTCTCTACAGCATAAAGGAGGTTGAAACAGGGGGGAACTGTGTGTTAGTGTGTGCTGAGGTGCCTGATGTGTGTAGCTCTATGCATTTGAGCTTTTATTAAGCTAATAAACAAAATACTTGTTCACAAATTCCAAATAAAAAGTAAGATGATTACTGCTGATAAGTGGCATAAGATTTTTTACTTCTTTGCAGGGGAAATCTGTGCCCTGAAAAGTCACATGGACTTAAAGTAAATAATCATAGTAATTTTTCAAGATCTGATCTTCCAGTGAACCTAAGACAAAGCTGTTTCCCTCAGAGGTATCAGTGTCAAGATAGCGAGTTCTCAGCTTGCAGAGGAATCTGGGAGCCTGTCTTACATCTGTTTGGATCATACTACCTTGGTGTATGGAGAGACAGAGATACGCATTTCTCTATGTAAACAAGCAGTTGTCACAAATTACTCTGACACTATAAGGCAGTTCCTGGGTGCCCAGTGGTTAGGACATTAGGGAGTCTCTTTACAGATGTCTTTCCAAGATATTAAAGGTAAGGCTGCAGTTAGGGTAGTCACATTCTAGATAATACAGATTGCCAAAGGCCCGGGGCGGGGGGGCGAATCTGGAAGGTGTCACGTGTCCAGACACAAAGTGCACAGTGCTGAAGTGCAGCTGGGTAGTCCTCAGGCACTTGAGTCACAAGATGCCCAGCTTTCATCACCCCACAACAGCGGATCGCCTCTTGCCCACCCTAACAAAAGGACTGATGGCAGACTGCAGCAATGTGGCAGCGGAGAGAGTTTTTCTGTATGTCTGCTGCAGTCCTCCATGTGTTCCTTCTCTGTCCTTGGCAGTAATCTTTCACCTTGATTCCCAAAAGTGGAAAAGCAGTCCTGTACTGTGAAATACTGTTCTAACTTTGGATCCCTGGTAGGGTTATGCACTCCCATGTCCACAGTGAAAATAGGAAGGTGCTGCAAGAACAAATGCAACTGCTGGACCAAGGCATGTCATCCATGATCTACTTTCACAACTCAATTAATTAGCTTTGGCCTTAACTTAAAACTGGCAGGTTGCAGTCCTGTGCATGGCAATAGTGCAGCTCCTCAGCATCACACAAACTCCAGTAAGGGTATCTGCAGCTAGTGCTGCTTCTGTGGAGCTGCTACAGGTGCCATGAAACATCTTTTCTACATCAGTGCAGTCTCTGCACAGATGACACCCTTAGCAGCGTTGCAGGGGTGTCAGCCAAGTTCTGTTAGTGTGTGCATTTGGGCACAGGGGAGCGTTTAGTAGACAAATGCTGTTCCCTGTAGCCCACTGGGGCCTGACGTTTTTCAAAGATGTTAATGATTGTGTTTTGTTCATGGCCTGGCTGTGCTATGGTCATCCTCTGCACCTCATGTCCACACCCCCAAAACAAAGGATCCTTTTCTGTTTGACAAGGCAGTTTTCATCAGCAGCTCTCTAAGTGCTTTGTTAGGACTTGGGAATTAGTAAAAGCAATGGGGGTTTGAGTGATTCTGGGGAAGTTTCCTGGGCTGCTTCGTGGCCTGTGTCTGCTCAGCTGCCAGGTCGTTCCCCCGCTTCTCTCAGATGTCTGTAGATTTGCCCTTTCAGACATGCTGTTTATTCTTAACCCTTGAGCCAAGCAATTATTTGCCCTGCCAAGTGTGGTCTCTAGCAGTGCTTTCGAGGGGGATCCAGGGAGGTCTCTTGCTTTCTCCCTGCCACTCTTGCTGGTGGCTAGCTCTTCAGCTGGAGTTGGTCGATTTGGGGAGTTTCCTCTTAGTCCAGCACCAGCACACGTCACTGAGGAGGTTGCAGGTCTGTGACTCCCTGTCCCGGCTCTCATGGGGCTCTGTTAATGACTGCAGCAGAGCTAATGATGGCTGTGCCTGGGCCAGACGCTCCCCCAGCCATGCAATGCTGCAGGGTGAGCTTGGCCCTTGCTGCTGGGGAGCATGGGGAACCCTGGCCAGCCTAGGTTGGGTGGGCTGCTTGGGGTGGCCTGGAGCATCCCCCAAAGGTGGGTTCTCCAGTAACCCCAGTCCCTCCGCACTGCAGGCGGAGTGAGGGCCATGGTGGTCCAGGGCTGTGCGTGGGTTCCAGAGGTGCCAGGCCCCACAACGTACCTGCTCTGGGCTGCTGCCCTCACTTGACCATTTGCAGGGGCCTGTGGCCCCTACCAGAACAAGAGCAGGTGCTGTGTTTGGGAAGCTCAAAGGGGCTCTGCCTGCCTCAGTGGCTTGAGTGGTACTTCAGCCACTGCTGGTGATGCTCAGTGTCCCCAGTGCCTTCTCTGTTTTGCGTGGGGGGGAGATGGTTGCTTAGGACTACGGAAACACCCGGACCTTACAGGGCTGCATGCCTGGCTGATTTAACAGCCCCTTTGCTGGTGTGATTTTGTTTGCTGCTGCATCATTAGGGAAATTGGAGCTGGCTGAAGGAGGGAACCACTCACTGGGACATGGCTTCAATTTAAACAAAAAAAGAAAAAAAAAGAAAAAGCTGTTGCGTGCCACTGGAAGACACATACCAAACCAGGGGCAGTTGCCTGAAAACCAAGATTGATGTTTTCAGCAAAGCCTTTCAGGAATTCATTCAGAAATGCACTTTCTGACTTCAGTCTTAATCATGCTACTCATTCCCTTACTCCTGATTCCACAGAATTTGAAATTGTTATGGCTCTTTATAAGGATTATGCTTTTTAATCTGTTCTGTGATGGACATTTGTGTGTGTGTGTGTATATAACACGTATAAACATACACAGCATCTTGTAATTTGCATGGAAAAAAGCCCCTAAACAAGCTGGTGACTAAAGTACAGAGGATGGAGTTCAAAGGGATTAAAAAAAAGTTTGGAAGTGACTAAGGGAGAACGCTTAAGGACTTCATTTAGCTTTTAAATTTCTCTAAAATGATGATTTTTTTTCTCAGGAAGAAAGCAATGCAGTTATAAGAGCTTCATCTAAAATTGCCCTTCCACACCACCACCCCCCACCCCCGCCGCCCCCAGCTGATAAAAACTGTCCAGATTTTTACATTTCC